TCGCTACTCACCAATAATCGTTCGCACTTTGGTCGAGTACAGTTTACAAGTGAGTGGTGTTTTGCAAGATGAACAGCCTACAACGCAATAAAGTAAATAAACTGATTAAGCTGATCGTAACGGCTATTTTAGAAGAGGTGGATGAGGAAATTTGTGTGATTAATAAAAAGAAGCTATGGGTACGAAAATGGATCAAAAGACAAGATAAACTAGGAGCTACTAATTGTCTTCTGAAGGAATTAGCATTGGAAGATCCCAAAGAATACTTCGATAGTTTGAGAATGTCCGAAAGTTGTGTAAATTTTCTGTTAATGAATGTTATGGCGGCAACTAATGAACTCGACTAATTCGACAGGTTCGTACTTGTTTAGCCGGTGAACCAGTGAGCTCGGAAGCGTGGTGGGGGCTGCTACTCGCCCAAAAAAATAGAATAAAATGGATTGACTCGACTAAATTACTTACTAAACTAATCGACTAAATTTTTAGTGTTCAGACACGTTTAGTTACTAAATTACTCGCTACTAGACTAAAATACTAGCTTAATGCGAACTAGGCTTAACGGTGAGTTTCTGAGCTATAATTTGCTGCTCACTACTGGACACTTTTTCAACCTGTTTCCCATATAAGTTAATTCTCCTTAGTTCTCCCTTCCATAATCTTTTCAGACTATTATTTTTGTAAGACAAGAATACTCATTTAGTAATTAGTTATGTTCAGAAGAAAGATTTTATGTAAATTTTATTGATCCATGCATGAGAAATACATGTGATATAGTTTTATGGTGGATTAACTAGTTAAGATTATCAACATCTTGTAAAGATTGTTATATTGTTAGTTATATAAAACAATTTACACTATTAGATTATAATGTACCTACAATGTTTTGATGAATAGTTCTAATAGCATAGTCATAAATGCATGTTTTGTTTAAGAAATTACATATTTTTATCAAAATTAAAGGTAGTTTTATATTACTATAAGTGTGGAATATCAGTGTTTTGTTCAAAAAAACAGATTAAATAGCAGTATTTTCATAATATTACTGCACTTTAGTTAGTAACAATCATGGAATAAATGTCTAAAATGCAGTAATAACAGGATTTACTGCATTTAAAACAGTTTTTGAAAAGATTATACAAATAAAGTGTGTGTAGTAATAGGGGCAAAATAATTAAAATTGCCATAATTATAGTTTTTTATAAAAAAACTAACGTAACAATGTTTAGTATTTTAGTTTGGTACATATTCTTTCACTTTCCATTCAAGGTTGTATTGAAAAGTCTCTTTTTGATATATTTTTATGGATTCTAAACTTTAAGCGCGTTTTTCTCGAATTCGTGTTTTTGCTGTTACTGCACTTTAGGTTCGGGAGGGCAGAGTAGAAACTCGTAACGTGAATGGCTATTTTTTTAACAATCAGTAAAATTACTATAACCTAATTGTAGTGTTTATTCACATTATTTATTTTTCCTTTGTCTAACATATTTTATAACTAGGAAATTCCTTTATAGTATCTACTCCTCTAGCTTTGATCTTTAACTTTACACAAACATTAATAAAAATCGATACATGTAACGCCATCTATCGTCGTATAATTGAACTATTTTTTTTTGTTTGTTATCCTAATGCCCAGAATGTCTGAACTGATTTTGATAGAACTGGAGAGGAATGGCAAATAATTTGAGCGTAAGTGATAGCTTTAGTCGAGAAAAGAAGTATAATTTCATAAAAAGGAATAAAATTTAACACAACCTGCTATGGCATTAGATTATGATTTATGATACCTAAGTGACTAATGTCCGATTCACCAACATCCCATAAGCTACCACCTACGTATAGGATCCCTAGCTTAAAAGTTCCCCTAAACTAGCCCCTAAATTAAATTTCGTTTTACCATCGTCGGAGCCCGTATTTCTAGTACCTATATATTTAGGTGGCATTTTAACATTTCGGTGACCCCTAACTGTCGGTGAAACAGAAACTGTCCCCTAACATCCCCCTAACTATGTTTATTTTCTGCTGATAGAGATAAAGATATTGTGGATACGCAAGATTTGATCGATCGGTTAGAAAGTTAACCAGTCGGAAGCAGTCCGTAGTTTATTTAGTACCTAAACTTATTCAGTTGTACCCAATGGAACGCTCAGTGTGCGAGTCAGACTCACACTTGTCCGATTTTTTGACTTTGACAATGGAACCTTAAAAATGAGAAATAAAATGGAGGAATAGGGACATCTATACATATAATAAAATTGTAACTAAGCCGGATCTGTACATTAAATATTTTTTTGCAAATTAATCTTACTGAAATAGGCATTATTATTGATACAGAGGCGGAATCTACATTTTTTAGTATTTTTGTCCGTCTGTCTGTCTGTCTGTTACCGCATCACAGAAATACCACTGGAGGGATTTTGATGAAATTTGGTTTGGTCATAGCTGGTTCGAATCGGGGTCAACATATAGGACATTTCTTATAGCGGCAAAATATCTCATTTCTGAGAAAAATACAAAAACTGGTAAGAATAAAACCACGATAATAGTATACACATTCAAATGAAATTGGTATATACATAAGAGTAGGTATACTAATATGTAAAACCTAAGAATTTGGTTTTTGGTCATCTGAACGCAGGCGGAGCCGCAGGCAATGCTAGTATAAGATAAATTTCAGAAACAGAATACGAAATAGTTAAAGTAAATGATTATAGGCAATAAAACAAAAACAGATATTAATGTTTGTTGTATTGTGACAATGATGGAAGATAAATTCGATACAATAAAAATAGATACGTATTAGATAGGTACCATGAATTGTTTGGGGTTTTTATTATCTGTACCATTTTTTAAACCTAACTTTGGAGTGTGTTTTTTTGTTATTTTTGAAAATATCATTAATTATATTCTCATATTTTATATATAGTAGGTAGGTAATATAAAAGCTGCATGTCTTCCTTAATAAGCAAATTGTTTTTTAAAGCTGTAGAAAGTTTGATTGAATGGCGTTTCGAAACCAGTAAAATAATTTAGCAGTTAATAAGATTTTAAAGAATTATTTTGAACTATTTTTTCCAACAGCCAATTCAATGTTAAATTGGGGTTTGCTCCACTCATTAACAGAGTGCAGAGTATACAGCCTTGTCTCTTTTAAATCGTGTAGGATTGCCGTCTCTTCGGACTATAAGAATTTCTAAATAACCATCCTTTGAGCTTCGCCGCAGTCGGGTAAAAAGTAGACACACTCTTATGCAGTAGCATAGCTATGCCAATGCATTTGCAGCGGGCCACAAACGATCATTCTATTTCAAAACATTATTTCGAGGACGGCTCCCATTAAAGTTAAAAAAAAAAACAACCGAAAAAAGTCTACTGTAAGTTTGACGCATGGCAGTCCACCTTCGTGTTCATATTAGGCAAAAGGGGGCACTTCCATTTTTTTACATGGGGGCCCAAAAAGGCTAGTTACGCCACTGCTGTTATGGTGCCTTGTGTTATATTAAATATAACAGACATATTATATAACATCTCTGCTGCATGGTCACAATTTCGAAAATCTTTCTTTAACAATTATTATTCTTAATAGATAATATAGTTCACATGTTACTTTCTTAGATTTACGCGAATATTTGGCATTTTAAATAAAGATATTCTCGGATTTTATTGCAATTTTGTTTTATATTTTTGTCCATGACGTTTTAAATGCTTCATAGCAAACATGGTAAAAGGGATGACTCTCTCAAAATTCAAAGGATAATTTGGTTATTTAAGTTATATAAAATATTTTTTCCTTTAAATTTAATAAATCTCATGGTCACCATACTAGTTACATAACATGAATAATAAGTTATCAAACCGTTCAGATACACTGTGGAATTGATAAGCATCGGACTGTTGTAAGTTCATTTGTTTTAAACATCTAGCTTACATTATAGGCTACTTTTATGCTGGAAAATAAAGGGTTCCCATAACGGATCACTCTTATAACAGAAACCCGTTTATTAACAACCTTTTTATTAAAAAGTGTTCAGGAAATTGTGTTTTTATGTAAAATTACTGTATGGATTTTGATTTAATTTGGCAAGATTGTTACTTTATAGAGTTGTTAATATGTAGTTTAGTTTTTATTATTAAAAATAGAGCCTCCAAAAGTTATAGTTAAAATTAATTAACACTTGCATGGGAAGTGATAAACAGGAATTGAGATTAAACTAGCGTTATCAATGTTCACTCTATGTTCATACATTCATTTCTATGAATTCTAACATTCGTATATATCGACTCTATCTCATTCTAACACAGTGTAGTTCGATTACTTTTCCGGTAAACGGTTTAAAAATATTTGATTGTAATTATTCTTATTTTGTAAATTAAAAGGTTTTATTATATCCAGAATCACTATATATTACAAATTAAACTGTCCCCATGTACTAAATTTCTGTTTATTCGAGCTTATCTTAATAAAACATATGCAAAATGATGATAGAGCGTGTTTGAAAGTCATTTGAAAAATTTGACTTTCATACTTATATTTAAAAGTTATATTATTTGTTTTTATTTAACTGCCTCAGTGGTTTAGTGGCTTGCATATTATACAGCCGTAAATCCGGAGGTCCTGGGTTCGTTTCCCGGGTTGAGCCAAGTACAGTACTTTGTTGTTACATGTTATTGAGTACTTCTGTCAAGAAATAATTCTCAGTAACAGCCCGGAGTTGGGAGGTTGGCGGTGTTTCACCCCCGTGCCTCGGAGAGCACGTAAAGCCGTCGGTCCTGCGCCTTAACTCTCACTGGTCGTGTCGAGTGGTAGTCCCACCGAAGTATGAGAGTATCAGGAATAGATAGTGCACGTTGTGTCTGCGCGTACACTTGTGCACTATAATATCTCCTGCGCAGTTGGCTAGTCTCAGTGAGAGAGTGAGAGTGAGAGTGAGATAATCGGTCGGAAGGGAACTCCACTTTTTACACAAACTATTTTATATATTTTTAGATTTTCTATTTAAAAAATGAAGGCAGTAGTATTCAACGGTGCAGACCTCACTTTGAAGTATGATGAGAATTATCCGATGCCGAAGATTGTAGACGACACCGATGTTATAGTAAAAGTTGAATATTCGGGCGTTTGTGGAACTGACTTACATATTATACAGGTAAGAAATTTTAAGGTTTTTCTATAGAATACTATAAGGCATTATTGTTTAGCCTCATGCTTAGTTCCATGATACTATGAGAGATGTGTGTGTGTCTGTATGTGATTTTTACATGACAAATAGGTAACATAAGTGTTAAGTAATTCCTTCTAATATATTTCGATACGTAAAGTACATATTTACCTATTAGATATACATATTCTAAATTATTGTAGGCTGGCACCGACTTCGAAAATATCTAATTAGGTATCTATTCTAAATAAAAACCCTGTTTAGTTATTTTTTACATTTTAGTGCCTGGTGTCGGTTTTTTTAAGTTTTTATTTTTCTATTTTTAGTGTTGACGTAATAAGCAGGTATTTTGTAAAATGAAAGTTTTTCAATAACATATTCGATTAAACCATTTATTTAAAAAAATAATTTATTTTTGATTTTTTTAACAAACCACTGGACTGATTTCAATAAAATTTATTTAAGGGAACACTGGGAAAAGGGGCACCATTTGAAACAAAAAAAATCCAAATCGGTCTTCGAGTAATCAGTGAACATACATAAAAAAAGATTCCGAATTGAGAACGGATTGAGAACCTGCTCCTTTTTCGATATCGGTTAAAATTGTAACTAAGCCGAATGTAATGTAATGTAGGTACTGTACATTAAATATTTTTTGAAAATCTTATTGAAATAGACATTATTATCGATACAGAGGCTGAATATATAGTTTTTATTATTTTTGTCTGTCTGTCCGTTACCGCATCACGGAAAATCCACTAGAGGGATTTTCACGAAATTTGGTATGATGATAGCTGGTTTTCCGGGACAACATATAGGATACTTTTTACTGCGAAAAAATATCCTATCTCTGAGAAATCTATACTAAACTTTAAAACGTAATTTGAGACGAACCTGAGCGGAGCGAGGGTGAGTCGCTAGTAATATAATATATCTAAGGTCTGGCGATTATTTTATTAGTTCAAACAATTTACGACATACGTAAACCTACATATAATCTGTACTGATAGCGATGTTATAAAGTGATCACATTATAATTTAGATTAGACTGTTTTTGTATTATTCTTTATAATTGTTTACTTCTTTACATATAATAAAACTGTAACTAAGCCGAATCTGTACGTTAAATATTTTTTGAAAGATCTTATTGAAATAGACATTATTATCGATGCAGAGGCCGAATCTATAGTTTTTAGAATTTTTGTCTGTCTGTCTGTCTATTACCGCATCACGGAAAAACCACAGGAGAGATTATGATGACATTTGGTATGATGATAACGGGGGTTATCTGGTGTTAACATATATCCTATAAGACACAGACAGACTTTTTACTGCGGGAAAATATGTCATCTCTGAGAAATCTATACTAAAACTTAAAACGTTAGTAGGGACGAACCGCTAGTTTTATATAAAAGAGTATACATTTTGCTTGATTGGCATTTAGGCAAGGATTATTTAATTATTTGGATTTACAGTGAAGTCAAGCTCGGCAAATTTTTACATTTTTCGCAAAATTTCGAATTTTTTAGTATATACCGATTACTTAATTCGTATTACCGTTTTTTAATCATTTCCGCACCACCATGAGGTAGAGTACGAGACGTGTTTAGTTTGTGGAGTATCCTCAGTAGGCCAAATCTATGACTCGTTCAGGGTCATTTCTTCAAACTCTTTAACTTTATTATATTAGTATATATTAAATAATTCTAACAGGGTGAGTTCCCAGCGTTGAAAGTGCGTCCACTGCCTCTAGGACATGAGTTCAGCGGAGTCGTGTACCAAACCGGAAAAGCGGCTGTCTTCAAAGTTGGACAGAAAGTTGTCGTTGATCCTAACCGGTAAGATATATATATATATATATATATATATATATATATATATATATATATATAACACTTTTGCCAAATTTCTAATGTTCTGGTATAATTATTATATTAAATGAGAGTGCTAAGTCACTAAACTAAACTTTTTGAAAGCTATTGTTAAATTTCTAACTTCTTCGAATATCATACCTTGTGCCTTTTCCACAAAAAAATCTCAATGATAAAATTTGACTGTTTCTTACATATCTATATCCATATACTATCTCCTCTATTTATTGTATTGTATTCAGCCCTTTTTTACGTCCCACTGTTGGGAGTGGGCCTCCCTTCAATACGAGTGAGATCAGGCCATAGTCCACCATACTGGGCAAGTACGGGCGGACTGAGCATGTCTTTAAAAAAATTGCTATATTCTCTCAGACACGCAATTTTCCTCACAATGTTTTCCTTCACCTTTAAGACAAGTGTCCATCACGTTGGAAATGATTCGCACATGAAAATATCAGAGGTGCGAGACCCGGGACTTGAACCCGCTTCACTCAGTTTTCTAAGCGAGTGCGTTAACACTGGGCTACCACTGCCTTGAAATATTAATAAATATTAATTATTAGAGTTCATAAATGCTAGATGCTAAATAGAGTCTGAAGGACGTCTAGAAATGGAACTTTATCATTTCTGTTTTTATTAGACAATCAACTAAATTGATAATATACGTAATGTAGTAGTAACAATGCGTGATTCTATTATTTAGGAAAAGTCTGTGTTAAAGAAAGATACTAGCGACTCACCCTCGCTTAGCTCGGGTTCGTCCCTGGGTACGTTATAATTTTTTGAGCGAAACCCTAATTCTTTTTCTAAAATAAAAGTAGCTAATGTCATATATAAAATCAACTATCTTCCAGTGAAAGTCCCATCAACATCAGTCCAGCCATTATAATGTTGTTCCTAGCAGTTGTCAATATTATTAAAACTTAATTAGTGAGAAAAACTTCCATAATCTGACTGTTTATAAAAAATGTACTTCTATGAATTTTCCAGCGCCTGCAATCTTTGTAACTTTTGTCGTGACGGCAAATACCAGTATTGTTTAACAGCTGGCATTAATAGCACTATCGGGATATGGAAAGACGGGGGCTGGGCTCAGTACGTGAGGTGTCCTCAGGACCAGGTGTATGTGTTACCTGATGGTATAACTACTGAACAAGGTAAAATTATTAAAATATTAGTTTTACCGGTAGCTCCACTCGCTTCTATTTATGTATTTAACGATTTTGATTCTAAAAATTACGAGTAAGTCAAACTGACCGTGATAATGATTGCTGTAAAGCATTCGAAACGTCGGGAACCAAAAATCAAAATAAATTCGCGAAAAAATCCGAAAAATTGTTTTATTAAAAAAATTATACTGCGAGATGTTAGATAAAAAAATGAAAATAAAAAATAATTTAGTAATAAACAAGAGTTTTCTAAATGCCTACATTAAATACGTTGTTGGGACATCATTTTTAGTCCAGTCGCTCTTCCGTAGAAAATTTCTTAAAAATTTTTTACAACTCAATAGTCTTATATTAACAAAACTTAATTTTGAATAATAGTAACAAAAATGTAAAAAAAATATAATATTTATAGTCATTAATCTTTCTTAATATGTAAAATAAATTATTTTTTGGTATTTTTATTATTATTAAATACTAGGAGTACCAGCGGCCTCGCTTAGCGTTAAAACTTTCGCTCGCTACCAAACTTCACTGGATCGCTGGACTAATCTAATGACAGCCTGAAAATTTCATCAAAATCGATCCAGACGTTTTGGAGTCCTTAGGGAACATATATACACACATCAATTTTATATATTAAACAAATCTATCCCCCGGGAACATAACATTTTATTTGGTGAAATTATATTTTAAATGTCTTTCGAAAGAAAATTATTTAAAAAGAAAGATAATATCATGATATTTAATAACACCTTGTATTTGCCTGTCTTTTTTAGCCGGATTATGTGAGCCATACTCATGTGTATCCCACGGATTCGATCGCGCCATGCCTATATCTGTTGGCAGCAAAATATTAATTGTTGGCGCTGGTATTATTGGTATGTTATTTGTTCTTTTAGCTACGCTGAGTAAGGAGCTTAGGCCATGTACTGAAGAATTACTTGTTTAATTTCAAATCGATGTATTAACTTATTGTTATTTTTAAGTTTGACGACACGTTTGGCTCAGTTTGTAGTGACCTTATGTACTGTGCCGGCGGTCGCGGGTTCGAGTCCCGCTGGGCATTCAATTGTGTAATGAACACGAATGCTTGTATTCCAGTCATGGGTGTTTATATTTTTAATAGTATATACTTTATTGCACTTATGAAACAAAATATTGAAATTGCATATTAAAGGACAAAGGCAAAGGTGGACTTATCCCTTAAATAGATTTCTTCCAGTTAACCCATGCATGTGAAAGATAGTGTTAAGTAGCAGGTCCATTAAGTACCAGAAGATACATCAAAGAGAAAAAATATACTGTTATATATATAAACCTTACAAATATAACTATATAATTAATATATACAAAAATAAAAAAATACACATATACATACATATTATAATAATTAAATAAATATACAAATAAAATACAAAATTACAGTAATAATAATATGTATGTATTTAAAATTATAATATGTATTTATTTTATTTATTTAAAAATAAATAATTTGACAGGTAACTTATGGATAACCACACTACATCTCCAGGGGCATAGAGACGTGACTGTCTCTGAAATGAATAAATCTAGATTGGATATTGTCAAAAAACTTGGTAACATCATATATATTTTTTAATTAATTTATTATCGTCCATACGTTTTTAGTGTAAAACATAAAAAGTAGATAAATTAAAAATTTAAAAAACCCCCTACGCTAATTAATTCTCATTTAACGATTACACTGGCACGCGTGAAGCACTTAATCGAGTTATCATACGCCAAAATGCCTTACATCATTTTGGAAAAGAGCTGATACTCTTACACTGCTGGACCGATATTAACCAACCATAGCTAAGAACTATCGCAACTAAAAACTGGTTTTCAAATGAAAAAAAAACCGCATTGAAATCGGTCCATCCGTTTGAGAGCTACGATGCCACAGACAGACACACATACACAGACAGACAGATATCGACGTCAAATTTAGAAAAACCCCTCTTTTTGCGTCGGGGGTTAATAAAATAAAACAATTCATTAGTTATATTTCAATAAAAAAATTAATAATTCATATTTGTTTGAAAAATTTCTTTAAAAATAACATTGGTTCTCTATATATATTTTTTATATTTTTTTTCATTAAAGATACCGGATATAGACTAGTGACGCCCGACGTTTTGGCGTCGGAAAAACAACTCTATGACGTTATTGTTGATTGTACTGGTAAGAGTTTGATTTTATTTATTACCTTTGTCACAGTGTTTAATATTTGATGTTAAAGGATATTATATGCTTTTTTAATATATCTTACTAATATTATAAATACGAAAGTTTTTGAGTATCTAGTGTGGATGTCTGGATATATAGATTTATGGATGTTTGTTACGCTTTCACACAAAAACTACTGAATGGATTTTAATGAAACTTTACAATAATATAGTTCATACATCAGAATAACACATAGGCTACTTTTTATCCCGGAAAAATGTACAGTTCTCGTAGGATAGATTAGTTTTTTTTTCTGGAGACAAACCCGAGCGAAACGAGAACAGCACTAGGACCTTAACTTCGCCTTAGGGGTGAAATAATTACTTTGTTGAGATTTGAATTGTATACTTTGTGATTGGGCCCAATTCAAATCGAAATTCTTTATTCAATATTAGTATTGCAGAAATACACTTTTTCAAAAACTCTACCAATAATAAGCTGATTATATTAATATAATATATTTTTGTGGATCAGTAACTTATCTTCGATTCACTCAAGTGCTTCCTTAAGTGCAATTATATTTATAATCTGTGTACTAAGTTTCACAATATGTTAATAATTATAAAATTGTATGCAACTTTATGGCAATTTTTTAAGAAACCCAATATGTAAATCGTCATGAACTTGATATATAGCGAGTATATCGTCACGAAAACAGAAATCGATCCTCGTATTACCCAGATACCTCACAGAAACCTTATACTTTAATCTTCTAAGTTCAAAATTTTTTGACCTAAGTTTCGTAACTGGCGAAATAAAAAAAATTGCCGCTATGAAATGTGTCTATATTTTTAAATTTAATTATAAGTAGTTTTTTTTTAATATTATATTTCAATATATTATAGGTGTAGGCAAAGTAATGGAAATGAGTTTCAATTATTTACGTCACGGTGGTAAATACGTGTTGTTTGGATGTTGTCCGCCCACACATCAAGCGTCGTAAGTATTCATATCTCAACATCATCATAATCATCATCATCATGACTATCATAATCATCAATAACATGATTAATCATCATATCAAAAATCAACATCATATCAAAAATAACATGATTATCATAAGACCTACTTCAAATATTTAAACGATATCCGTACGACATAAGACCATGTCATCCAGAAGAGGACCAATATTTCTATCTATATTAATGAAATTGAAAAGCCGTTTATTGGTAATAACTTGTTTGGGAGAAAATTATAAAAAAAACCCGGAAAATTGAGAAATTCGGTAAATACTATAGAGAAGATCACGAACAAATTGTCTTTCGAAAACCTGATAGGTTCCTTCAGAGATGCATGTTTCGTCTAGATATTCTCCCTCACCGTAAGGCGAGTGATAATCACTTGAGGTGTTAGACGCTTAATTTGAAACCACTTCACTTGGTTTTCTAAACGAACGCCGCCAATTACCAGCCAACAGTAGGCTAGAACTGCCTTTTTAGCTTAGCATACATGCATATATCCGTACTTAATATTATAAATGGGAAAGTGTGTTTGTTTGTCCTTCTTTTACGTCGGAACAGAGTGATGGTTTGGCGTGTTATTTTGTGTGGAGTTGGAGGGCTGGAAAGTGACATAGGTTACTTTTTACCGCGAGATTATCTCTTTCCCGCGGGAAAACACGTTACAATACAACTCACAACAACTCATCATACCTCTGTATTATATATAGTCTATCTATTCTAGACTAACCGTTAAAACCTACCTAGAGACGAACCCGAGCGAAGCAAGGGTGAGCCGCTAGTTTATAATAAATAACTTAAAAGTATTTACCCAGTTATATATTTTTTATTCTAGGATAAATCCATACGAAATATACGATAAAGAGCTGACAATAGTCGGTGTTAAGATCAACCCCTTCAGTTTTCCAAAAGCAATTGGTTTGTTAAAAGCTATGGGAGATAGGTAAGAATAATTAATTAAAATATTAATTGAATCATTTTTTTTTCATTAGATAAATAATTCATTGAATTTTAAATTAAATATAATTATAATGTCAAAATAAACAAAAATAAAATTTTCTTAGATTTACGCGAATATTTGGCATTTTAAATAAAACTATCTACCTATTCAAAAATACAAATTTTTGAATTCATTTTGTAATTATGTGGATAGGCACTGTCTGTAACAACTACATAAGTAACTTTGATATATGTTTATAATATGTATGTATTTAAAGTTGTATATGTGTAGTGTATCAACTATCTGGTATCCATAACACGAGCCTCGTAGCTTACCATGGAACTAGATGGTGCCGTGTGTTAATGCCCCAATATATTTATTTATTATATATTTATTTTAGGCGTCGTCTCTCCCGCGACCATGATTGCTGTAAAGCATTCGAAACGTCGGGAACCAAAACTCAAAATAAAACCGCGATAAAAACCGAAAAGATAGTTTTATTTAAAATAAATAAAAATATTTATATGATAACTGTAACTAAATTATATACAGTTTTTTTTTTATTTTACAGATATTTGAATTATGATAAGCTTGGAGTGAAAACATACCCACTCTCAGGTTATAAGGACGCATTAGAGGATCTAAAAGCTGGCAACATTTCCAAAGCAGTATTTAAAGTTGAATAAAAAAATAATAAAATAAAACAAAATTTATATATTTTTTGCATTATTTAAATAAAATGTTTAGATATGTTGTACATATTTTATTTATTTCAGTTTTTATTTATTGGTTTAAATATTTCAATTATTAAAGTAATATTTATAACCTTAATCTTTATTTATATTATATGAATGGTTAATGTTTATTTTTAAACTGGCTACTTACGCTCGCTTCGCAAGCGTCCTTAGATACCTAATAGCCAGGTCATGTCTGTCTGTGCATCATCCAAATACGTCCAGCCGGTATTTTCACGTTTCTGCGTGAAGTGACAAACATACACACATAAAACTTTCACTAGTAATACCTGTCTGTATCTCTGTAAATGGACACTTAAAAATCGGTATTTTAATACCCCGCTCGATTCGGACGAAACATTTTTTTTTCTAGACACAAATTGACGCCTCAGATCCGCCATTTTGACTTTTCGTCATGATTTATCTATATGGTCACGTATATAAATAACGACGTATGAATCTTCAAAATCAGTTAAGCCTTTTAGTAACTACGAGGGAACATAGGGTCGGACAAACATACAGGTCAAATACATAACCCGTCTTTGGTCTTCGCTGCAGTTGGGTAAAAATAGCATCTATACAGTCGGACTATATATTTTTACAGTAAATTATAAATTTCCTGTACGATGATATTATTGCCTTTCCAAAATACATTATTTATACATTAGTCATTGTGAGATTATTAGACGTTACCAATAATGGTTATATCAAACGGTACAGTGACGGCCATATTAGATTAGACGTTTGTAAATTAATTTTATTGATATATTTTAAGATATGAAAATAGGTAAATATATATTTTATGTACCGAAATATATTAGATTTTCTTTTCGTCGGCTGGCACCGACTTCGAAAATATCTTATTAGGTATCTATTCTAAATGAAAACCTCCAATTAGTTATTTTTTACATTTTAGTGCCTGGAAGTCGTTTTTTTATTTTTTGTTAAAAAGTTTTTATTTAAATATACATATAGAAAAATAAAATCTTTTAATTATATATTAATATTAAATATTTTAATAATGCTAGTATATTAAATAGTAATATTATATATAGTAATAAATAGTATACGTCTGTATTATCTATACAGTATACTAATATATGTATAAAGCTGAAAGTTTGTTTGTTTGAAAGCACTGATCTCCGGATCTACTACTGGTTCGATTTTTAAATGGTTTTTGCGGTTTACAGCCTTTATTAAGGAGGTTTATATGCTATCTTACGTCACATTATGACCTATGAGAGCGAAGTATTTTAAAAAGTAAACGGATGAGTAAACGCTAGTAATCTGAAAATAATCTGCTTAAGCTGCTAACTCTTAAACAACTATTTAATTAATTAAAATTTAATACGTGGTAATCGTTGGTACTTAAATAATAAGTATTTTTATAGTAGTAAGTTTGGAGTGTGTTTTTTTTTGTTTGTTGTTGTGTATTTTTGAAAATATCATTAATTATATTCATAAGTAATATTTCTTAACTTTAAGCTATATATATGTGTATATATATATATATATGTATGTATATATATATATATATATATAGATATTATGTCTTCCTTAATAAACAAATTGTTTTTTAAAGCTGTACAAAGTTTGATTGAATGGCGTTTCGATACCAATTAAATACTTTGACAGTTAATAAGTTTTTAAACTATTTTTTCCAACAGCCAATTCAATGTCGAATTGGGGTTTGCTCCACTCATTAAAAGAGCGCAGAGTATACAGCCTTGTGTCTTTTAAATCATGTAGGATTGCCGTCTCTTCGGACTATATGAATTTCTAAATAACCCTCCTTTGGACTTCGCTGCAGTCGTATAAAAAGTGGACACAGTCTTGTGCAGTGGCGTAGCTATGCCAATGCATTAATGCGATCGCATGGGGCCCCTGATTCAAGGGGGGCCCAGCGCGCAACAAACAATTCATTTATTTTTAAAACATTATTTCGAGGACAAATTAAATTTAATAAATCTCATGGTCACCATACTAGTTGTACGTACATGTAACGTGAATAATAAGTTATCACACTGTTCAGATACACTGTGGAATTGATAAGCATCGGACTGTTGTAAGTTCATTTGTTTTACATCATCCAGCCTACATTATAGGCTACTTTTATTCTGGAAAATAAAGGGTTCCCATAACGGATCACTCTTATAACAGAAACCCTTTTATTAAGAACCCTTCTATTAACAACCTTTTTATTAAAAAGGGTAAGGAAATTGTGTTTTATACGAAATTACTGTATGGATTTTAATATAATTTGGCAAGATTGTTACTTTATAGTGATGTCAATATAAAGTTTAGTTTTTATTATAGAAAAAGATTCTCTAAGAGTTATAGTTAAAAATTAATTAACACTTGCATGAAAAGTGATAAACAGGAATTGAGATTAAAGTAGCGTTACTAATCTTCACTCTATATTCGTACAAGGAACACAAATCTCTATGAATTCGAACATTACATTTTTTGGTTAGTTCGATTATCGATCGATCGATTATTGGAGTTGGGAAGTTGGCGGTGTTTCACCACCGTGCCCAGTTCCCAGAGTAAAGCCACATAATAACATGAAGCCGTCGGTCCTGTGCCTTAACTCTCATTAGTCATGTCGAATGTCGTCCTACCCATGTATGAGAGTGTCATTAATAGAGAGTGCACGTTGTGTCTACGCGTACACTTATGCACTATATCTCCTGCGCAGTTGGCTTGTCTCAGTGAGAGAGTGAGAGTGAGAAAATCGGTCGGAAGGGAACTCCACTCTTTTACATAAACTCTATTTTATGTATTTTTAGATTTTCAATTTAAAAATGAAGGCGGTGGTGTTCAACGGTACAGACCTCACTTTGAAGTATGATGAGAATTATCCGATGCCGAAGATTGTAGACGACACCGATGTTATAATAAAAGTTGAATATGCGGGGGTTTGTGGAACTGATTTACATATTATACAGGTAAGAAATTTTAAGGTTTTTTACAGTATTATAAAGCACTAGCATTGCCCGCGGCTCCGCCCGCGTTCAGATGACCAAAAACCAAATTCTTAAGTTTTATATATTAGTATACCCTTACATTGCAGTTTTTGTATTTTTTCTTAGAAATGAAATATTTTCCCGCGGTAAAAAGTAGCCTATATATTGACGCGGATAACCAGCTATCACCATACCAAATTTCATCAATATCCCTCCAGTGGTTTTTCTGTGATGCGGTAACAGACAAACAGACAGACAGACAAAAGTTCTAAAAACTATAGATTCGGCCTCTGTATCGATAATAATGTTTATTTCAATAAGATTTTCCAAAAAATATTTAGTGTACAGATTCGGCTTAGTAACAATTTTATTATATGTATAAATTATTGTTTAGCCTCATGCTTAGTTCCATGATACTATGTGAGATGTGATGAGATAACTAATCGGGGGTTTTCAATTAGAGTAGATACTTAATAAGATAACGTCGAAGTCGTCAAAATTTTAAGATATGAGTACCTATCTAATAGGTAAATATGTATTTTACATATCGAAATATATTAGAAGGCAACGACTTCGAAAATATCTGATTAGGTATCTATTCTAAATGAAAATCTCCGTTTAGTTATTTTTTACATTTTAGTGCCTGGAAGTCGGTTTTTATTTTTTGTTAAAAAGTTTTTATTTTTCCATTTTTAGTGTAGACGTAATAAGCAGGTATTTTGTAAAAAGGAACTTTTTTAATAACATGTTCTATTAAACAATTTATTTAATAAAATAATCTATTGTTGATTTTTTAAGAAAACCGCTCGATCGATTTCGATAAAATTTATATGGGACCTGGGAAGTTTACCCTTTGAAACAAAAAAAAAACCAAATCGGTTCAGGCGCCTTCGAATAATCAGTGAACATACATAAAAAAAGATTCCGACGAATTGAGAACCTCCTTTTTTGAAGTCGGTTAAAAATTGTAACTATGCCAAATCTCAAAAATTCGAAAGCCGAATCTAATGAAAATCTTATTGAAATAGACGTTATTATCGATACAGAGGCCGAATCTATAGTTTTTAGAACTTTTGTCTGTCTGTCTGTTTGTTACTGCATCACGGAAAATCCACTGAAAGGAATTTTCATGAAATTTGGTATGATGATAGCTGGGTTTTCGGGACAACATAAAAGGTACTTTTTACTGCGAAAAAATATCTCATCTCTGAGAAATCTATACTCAAATTTTAAAACGTAATTAGGGACGAACCGGAGCGGAGCGAGGGTGAGTCGCTAGTAATATAATATATCTAAGGTCTGACGATTATTTTATTAGTTCAACTTCAAACAAATTACGACATTCGCAAACTTATAATCTGTACTGATAGCGATGTTATAAAGTCATCGCATTAAAATTTAGATTAGACTGTTTTTGTATTATTCTTTATAATTGTTTAGTTTCATATAAAAGAGTATACATTTTGCTTGTTTGGCGTTTAGGCAAGAATTTTATTATGTAATCTACTGTCTCACTTAATCCAGTCATTAAAGTCATAAAATGGGATTTTCACTATAAAAGGTTATAAGGAAAATTCTAATTTGCCAGTGTGTTAAAGTCGGTTTCCTAAGTAATATTTCGAATTTACGACTTTCAGCGACCGCCATATTGGAAAGAATGGTACCAAAAACCAGGGTTTCGAAAAAATCTTCTCTCCAGCGTCATCTAGGTTATAAATGGACATTACAAAAATTATAGAGCATTAAATTTCCTGCAACTTTTGTGGGATTTTTTTTAATTATGTTACGTATTAATATAACATTTGTAAATATGTAGTTCAGAAGTTACAGTGAAGTCAAGCTCGGCAAATTTCCACATTTTTCGCAAAATCTCGAGATTTCAATAAAATATACCGATTACTTAATCCGTACTACCATTTTTTACTCATTTCCGCACCACCATGAGGTAGAGTGCGAGGCGCGTTTTTTATGTGGTATCCCCAGTACGTCTAATCTATGATTCGTTCTGGGTCGTTTCTTCAAACTCTTCAACTTTATTATATTAGTACTAGCAGTACCCGCGGCTTCGCCCGCGTCCAAGCTTGTTTAAGCAGCTAACAAAATTCACTGGATCACTCGCTGGGCTAATCTGAAGGTTACCTGAAAATTTCATCAAAATCGCTCCAGCTGTTTTGGAGTCCATAGAAAACATACATACACACATCGATTTTAATTTTATTTAATCAACAATTTAAATTTATTTATTGCTCCTAAAAGGGAGTCTTTTATAAAAAATTTGTGACATACCGAGTGCAGCGCCACCTACCGGATCCATTTGTGAATTCAAACCTTGCAGGGACCCACTCGAACATACACAAAAAATATCATTAAAATCGTCCCTGCCGTTTAGGAGATGATCAGTGGCACACCAACTGCAGGGCCACTTACTGGGTCCATTTGTATTTTCAAACCATCCAGGAACACATTGAAATATACACATAAAATTTCATCCATGTTGGTCCAGTCCTTTAGGGGAGTAGGTTAATAAACACACGTACAGAAGAATTATATATATTAAGATAGATAAAATAATTCTAACAGGGTGAGTTTCCAGCGTCAAAAGAACGTCCAATGCCTCTAGGACATGAGTTCAGCGGAGTCGTGTACCAAACCGGAAAAGCGGCTATCTTCAAAGTTGGACAGAAAGTTGTCGTTGATCCTAGCCGGTAAGATGTTTTATATTTAAAAACTACTAACCTATTCCATAAAACCCAAGTTAATTTCTAAATTGGTTAAATATATTGTATTGGAAAATATCTACTGGTCTTTTTATATATTAAATGAAAGTACTAAGTTACTAAACTAAAGTTTTTAAAAGATATTGTTGAATTTCTAACTTCTTCATATTAATATCATACCTTGTACATTTTTCACAAAAAATCTCAATGATAAAATTTGACTGTTTCTTACATATCTATATCAATATACTATCTCCTCTATTTATTGTATTGTATTCAGCCATTTTTTACGTCCCGTGGGCCTGCCTTCAGTACGAGGGGGATCAAGCCATAGTGCACCACGCTGGTGAAGTGCGGGTTGGCGGACTTCACATGTCTTCCAAAAATTTGCTAGATTCTCTCAGACATGCACGATTATTAATATTAATTATTTACAATGTTTTCCTTCATCGTTAAGACAAGTGGTCATCTTGTTGGAAATGATTCGCACATGAAGATATCAGAGGTGCGAGACCCGGGACTTCAACCGGTTTCACTCGGTTTTCTAAGCGAGTGCGTTAACACTGGGCTACCACTGCCTTGAAATATTAATAAATATTATTAGAGTTCAAAAATGCTAGATGCTAAATAGAGTCTGAAGGACGTCTAGAAATCCAAATTTCCATAATCTGACTGTTTATAAAAAATGTACTTCTATGAATTTTCCAGCGCCTGCAATCTTTGTAACTTTTGTCGTGACGGCAAATACCAGTATTGCTTAACAGCTGGCATTAATAGCACTATCGGGATATGGAAAGACGGGGGCTGGGCTCAGTACGTGAGGTGTCCTCAGGACCAGGTGTATGTGTTACCTGATGGTTTAACTACTGAACAAGGTAAAATTGTTAAAATATTAGTTTTACCCGTAGCTCCTCTAGCATCTATTTATGTATTTAACTATTTTGATTCTAAAAATTACTAGTAAGTCAACCTGACCGTGACCATGATTGCTGTAAAGCATTCGAAACGTCGAGAACCAAAAATCAAAATAAATTCGCGAAAAATTCCAAAAATTGTTTAATTTAGAAAATAATACTGCGAGATGTTAGATAAAAAAATGAAAATGAAAAATGATATATTAATAAACAAAGAGTTTTCTAAATACATTAAATACGTTGTTGGGACATCATTTTAAGTCCAGTCGCTCTTCCGTAGAAAATTTCTTAAAAATTTTTTACAACTCAATAGTCTTATATTAACAAAACCTAATTTTGAATAATAGTAACAAAAATGTAAAAAAATCTAATATTTATAGTCATTAATCTTTCTTAATATGTAAAATAAAATATTTTTTGGTATTTTTATTATTATTAAATACTAGGAGTAACCGCGGCCTCGCTTAGCGTTGAAACTTCCGCTCGCTACCAAACTTCACTGGATCGCTGGACTAATCTAATGAGTGTCTTTTTTTTCCGAAGAGGGCCACCTCCCACCGCCCACCGAAGTGGGCCACCTCCCTGTGCGTTTCTTAGCTTCGCGCCCGGTTGGATTGCCGGGCACTACTGAGCCCCCCCACCACGACAATGTGAACGCACGTTGGGGGGGAATCTAATGACTGCCTGAAAATTTCATCAAAATCGCTCCAGACATTTTGGAGTCCATAGGGAACATCATACATACATTGATTTTTATATATTTTATATATTAAACAAATCTATCCCTCGGAAACATAACATTTTATTTGGTGAAATTATATTTTAAATGTCTTTCGAAAGAAAATTATGTAATAAATTCAAAATTTAAAACAAAAAACCCTACGCAAATTAATTGTCATTTAACGATTACAATGGCACGCGTGAAGCACTTAATCGAGTTTTCCAAAATGCCTTACATTATTTTGGAAAAGAGCTGATACTCTTACACTGCTGGACCGATATTAATCAAACATAGCTAAGAACGACCGTAAGGAAACTGGCTTTCAAATGAAAAAAACCGCATCGAAATCGGTCCATCCATTTGAGAGCTACGATGCCACAGACAGACACACACAACACATACACAGACAGACATCGACGTCAAACTTGTAACACCCCTCTTTTTGCATCGGGGGTTAAAAAGAAAGTTATTATGATATTTAATAACACCTTATATTTGCCTGTCTTTTTTAGCCGGATTATGTGAGCCATACTCATGTGTATCCCACGGATTCGACCGCGCCATGCCTATATCTGTTGGCAGCAAAATATTAATTGTTGGCGCTGGCATTATTGGTATGTTATTTGTTCTTTTAGCTAAGCTGAGTAAAGAGCTTAGGCCATGTACTAAAGAATTACTTGTTTCATTTCAATTTTATGTATTATTGACGACGCGAGTGGCTCAGTTTGTAGTGACCCTACTTTTTGTGGCGGCGGTCGCGGGTTCGAGTCCCGCTGGGGGCATTCATTTGTGTGATGAGCACGAATGTTTGTACTCCAGTCATGGGTGCTTATATTTATAATATGTATGTATTTAAAGTTGTATATGTGTAGTGTATCAACTATCTGGTATCCATAACATAGGCCTCGTAGCTTACCATGGAACTAGATGGTGCTGTGTGTTAATGTCCCAACAGATTTATTTTATTTATTTTAAAATAAATAATTTGACAGGTAACTTATGGATAACCACACTACATCTCCAGGGGCATAGAGACGTGACTGTCTCTGAAATGAATACATCTAGATTGGATATTGTCAAAAAACTTGGTAACATCATATATATTTTTTAATTAATTTATTATCGTCCATACGTTTTTAGTATAAAATATTAAAAATTAGATAAATTAAAAATTTTAAAAACCCCCTACGCCAATTAATTCTCATTTAACGATTACACTGGCACGCGAGAAGCACTTAATCGAGTAATCATACGCCAAAATGCCCTACATCATTTTGGAAAAGAGCTGATACTCTTATACTGCTGGACCGATATTAACCAACCATAGCTAAGAACTACCGCAAGGAAACTGGCTTTCAAATGAAAAAAAACCGCATCGAAATCGGTCAATCCGTTTGAGAGCTACGATGCTACAGACACACACACACACAGACAGACAGACATCGACGTCAAATTTTAACACCCCTATTTTTGCGTCGAGGGTTAATAGAGTAAAACAATTCAATAGTTATATTTCAATACAAAAATTAATAAAATTTGATTTAAAAATAACATTGGTTCTCTATATATAGTTTTTATATTTTTTTTCATTAAAGATACCGGATATAGACTAGTGACGCCCGACGTTTTGGCGTCGGAAAAACAACTCTATGACGTTATTGTTGATTGTACTGGTAAGAGTTTGATTTTATTTATTACCTTTGTCACAGTGTTTTTTTGTATGTATGTTAAAGCATATTATATGTTTTTTTAATATATCTTACTAATATTATAAATACGAAAGTTTTTGAGTATGTGTGGATGTCTGGATATACACATGTATGGATGTTTGTTACGCTTTCACACAAAAACTACTGAATGGATTTTAATGAAACTTTACAATAATATAGTTCATACATCAGAATAACACATAGGCTACTTTTTGTCCCGGAAAATGTACAGTTCTCGTAGGATAGATTATTTTTTTTTTCTGGAGACAAACCCGAGCGAAGCGAGAACAGCACTAGTACCTTAACTTCGCCTTAGGGGTGAAATAATTACTTTGTTGAGATTTGAATTGTATACTTTGTGATTGGGCCAAATTCAAATCGAAATTCTTTATTCAACATTAGTATTGCAGAAATAGACTTTTTCAAAAACTCTACGAATAATAAGCTAATTAAATTAATATAATATATTTTTGTGGATCAGTAACTTATCTTCGATTCGCTCAAGTGCGTCCTTAAGTGCAATTAAATTTATAATCTGTGTACTAAGTTTTACAATATGTTAATAATTATAAAATTGTATGCAACTTTGTGGCAATTTTTTAAGAAACCCAATATGTAAATCGTCATGAACTTGATATATAGCGAGTATATCGTCACGAAAACAGAAATCGATCCTCGTATTACCCAGATACCTCACAGAAACCTTTTGTTTTTTTTATAAGACTAAGGGGGCAAACGGGCAGGAGGCTCACCTGATGGAAAGTGATCACCGCTGCCCATGGACATCTGCAACACCGTAGGGCTTGCAGATGCGTTGCCGGCCTTTAAGGAAGGAATACGCTCTCTTCTTGAAGGTGGCCACGTTGTAGCGGTTCGGAAAGACCGCCGGCGATAGCTGGTTCCACAGAGTGGTTGTGCGGGGCAGAAAATGCCTTGAAAATCGCACTGTTGTGGAACGCTGGACATCGACGTGGTGTAGATGGAATTTACTATTTTGGCGCGATGTCCGATGATGAAATTCAGCAGCCGGGATCAGTCCGAACAATTCCTCGGAACACTCCCCGTGATAAAAGCGGTAGAAGATGCAGAGTGATCCAACATCTCTACGCAGAGCTAAAGGATCAAGCCGATCGTCGATAACTCAAGCCGCCCTACGTTGAATGCGATCAAATGGAAGTAGCTGGTACTGGGGAGCTCCCGCCCAAAGATGAAAACAGTACTCCATGTGGGGCCGAATTTGCGCCTTATAAAGAATAAGACGCTGACGCGACGTGAAGTACTGTCTCGCCTTGCTGAGCACACCAAGCTTCTTTGAGGCCAGTTTGGCCTTACCTTCCAATTGACCACGGAACTGGACGTTGCTCGAGATGTCGACGCCAAGTATTCCGATACTGGCTGTGGCAGACAGAGGAGTGTCGTCAAATTGAGGAGCTACGATAAATGGCGACTTTTTAGCGGTTAACGCGCAAACTTGTGTCTTTTTGGGGTTGAATTGGACTAAGTTTAGTCGACCCCAATCCGAGACTTTGGTTAACAAAGATTCGACTTCAGACACAAGTTTGTTCCGGCTCTCGTCGACGTATTCCCGAGAAATATTAGCGCGGCCAGTGTACAGGGCATCCACAATGCTATCGTCTGCATAGCAATGAATGTTGCTAATTTGCAACATGTCATTGATATGCAGAAGGAACAGAGTAGGAGACAGTACGCAGCCTTGTGGAACACCAGCATTGACATATTTAGGATCAGAGCAAGCACCGTCGACAACGACCTTGATGCTCCGATCTGCCAAAAAGCTGGTGATCCAGTTGCAAAATTTCTCGGGGAGCCCATAGGAAGGTAGCTTCGAAAGAAGCGCTTTATGCTATACCGGATCAAAGGCCTTCGCTATGTCCAGACTGGCTGCAAGCGCCTCCCCCTTGGTCTCAACTACTTCTGCCCATCTATGTGTTAGGTAAACTAGAAGATCACCGGCTGAGCGACCTCGATGGAAGCCGTACTGGCGGTCGCTGATCAGCCGGTGCTCTTCTAGGTACCGCAGGAGCTGGCAGTTGATAATGGACTCCATTATCTTAGAGAACAAGGAGGTAATGGCTATAGGCCTGTAATTGGACGGATTCGAGCGGTTGTCCTTTTTTGGGATCGGGTGCACTAAAGCGGCCTTCCAGGATTTTGGGACTACGCCTAATGAATATGAGTACCGGAAAAGACGCGTTAAGACCGGTGCCAACTCCGGAGCACATGTCTTCAACACGATCGGAGGGATGCCATCTTCCGGTATGGTAGTGTCACACCGCGGAATTGTCGGTGGAGAGTTTCCTTGGTAATTCAGAGTCGAATTGGACGCGAAAAGAGTGGCCAGTAGTTCGGCTTTCTCCTTCGCGGTATGAGCCAGCGAGTCATTCTCCGTGTGCAGAGGTGGAAAGGAAGGCTTAGAGAAATTCCCTAAAACAGCTTTGGAGAGAGACCAAAACGCACGCGTTCCTGATGGGAGACGCCCCAATCTCTCGCCAATTCTGCCGATGTGCTTCGACTTCGCATTAGTAATACTATTTTTGAAGGACCTGGAGGCAAAGTTATACTCCTTTTTAAAGGCGCTGGTATTTACATCACTAGACTTATACTTTAGTTTCCTAAGTTCAATTTTTTTGTCCTAAATTTCATAACTGGTGAAATAAAAATAATTATGCCACTGGTCCATACAAAATTGCATTGCACTTTATGAAATATGTCCATATTTTTAAATTTAATTATTAGTAGTTTTTTTTTAATATTATATTTCAATATTTTATAGGTGTAGGCAAAGTAATGGAAATAAGTTTCAATTATTTACGTCACGGTGGTAAATACGTGATGTTTGGGTGTTGTCCTCCCACACATCAAGCATCGTAAGTATTCATATTTCAACATCATCATAATCATAATCATCGTGACTATCATGATTATCATAATCATCGTAATAATCATCATCATTATCATTTTACGGCCGAAAGACATCCACAGACACATAGACCTACTTCAAATATTTAAACGATATCCGGTCTTATGTCATCCAGAAGAGGACCAATATTTCTATCTAGGTATATTAATAAAATTGAAAAGTTTGTTTCGTCTAGATATTTTCCTTCACCGTAAGGCGAGTAATAATCATTTGAGGTGTTAGACGCTTAATTTGAAACCACTTCACTTGGTTTTTTAAACGAATGCCGCCAGTTACCAGCCAACAGTAGGCTAGAACTGCCTTTTTGCTTAGCATACATGCATATATCCATACATAATATTATAAATGTGAAAGTGTGTTTATTAGTCCTTCTTTAACGTCGGAACAGAGTGACGGTTTGGCGTGTTATTTTGTGTGGAGTTGGAGGGCTGGAAAGTGACATAGGTTACTTTTTACAGCGAGATTATCTCTTTCCCACGGGAAAACACGTTACAATACAACTCTCAACAACTCATCATACCTCTGTATTATATATAGTCTATCTATTCTATGCTAACCGTTAAAATGTACCTAGTGACGAACCCGAGCGAAGCAAGGGTGAGCCGCTAGTTTATAATAAATAACTTAAAAGTATTTACCCAGTTATATATTTTTTATTCTAGGATAAATCCATACGAAATATACGATAAAGAGCTGACAATAGTCGGTGTTAAGATCAACCCCTTCAGTTTTCCAAAAGCAATTGGTTTGTTAAAAGCTATGGGAGATAGGTAAGAATAATTAATTAAAATATTAATTGAATCATTTTTTTTTTCATTAGATAAATTATTTATTGAATTTTAAATTAAATATAATTATAATTTTAAAATAAACAAAAATAATACTTTCTTAGATTTACGCGAATATTTGGCATTTTCAATAAAACTACGTATACAAAAATACAAATTTTGAAATCATTTTGTAATTATGTGGATAGGCACTGTCTGTAACAACTACATAAGTAACTTTGATATATGTTTATAATATGTATGTATTTAAAGTTGTATATGTGTAGTGTATCAACTATCTGCTATCCATAACACAAGCCTCGTACCATGGAACTAGATGGTACCGTGTGTTAATGCCCCAATATATTTATTTATTATATATTTATTTTAGGCGTCGTCTCTCCCGCGACCATGATTGCTGTAAAGCATTCAAAACGTCGGGAACCAACACTCAAAATAAAACCACGATAAAATCCGAAAAGATACTTTTAAATAGAATAAATAAAAATATTTATAAGACAATCGTAACTAAATTACATACTGTTTTTATTTTTATTTTACAGATATTTGAATTATGATAAGCTTGGAGTTAAAACATACCCACTCTCAGGTTATAAGGACGCATTAAAGGACCTAAAAGCTGGCAACATTTCCAAAGCAGTATTTAAAGTTGAATAAAAACATAATAAAATAAAACAAAATTTATATATTTTTTGCTTTATTTAAATAAAATGTTTTGATTTGTTGTACATATTTTATTTATTTCAGTTTTATTTATTTATTGACTCCATATATAAATCATGTCTACTGTCGATAAGTTAATTGAAGTATAAACATATGATAACTCAAATTCTAAAGCCAATTATAATAACAAGCGTACTCATGCTTCAATACAACTAGCACAATATAGATCTTATACGAAATTGTAATTCGGCATAACGTAGGCGTGACAATGCCTTGATCATGTCGATACTAGTGACCCAGTGACATTTAATGTCACCTGCGAACAGTTAGAAGGATGAATAAATAGATTGTTGTTATACGAGGATTTTTTTACTGCTGTTGTATAAAGTCCTGCCAATCTATACTAATATTATAAAGAGTTATAGTTTGTGAGTTTGTGACGTTGTAGGGGGTAATCTCTAGATCTACTAAACCGATTTAGATGAAATTTGGTGAGAAGATAGTTTGATACCCTGGGAAGGACATAGGATACTTTTTATCCAGGAAATCATCCTTTAAGTGGGTGAAAATGGAGATGAATGTTTGTATGTATGGGGAATCAAGCTAGGGACAAACCCGAGCGAAGCGTGGGTGAATCGCTAATTAAATTATAATCATTGAAAGAAAGAGATTTTAATTTTAACTAGTGATATACCCTCGCTTCCTTTGGGTTCAGCTCTAGGTGCCTCAGTAGCCTATGTGTATTTCCACCATACAGATTATCTGTGTACTAAATTTCATTCAAATCAGGCCAGTCGTTTCAGCGTGAAGGAATAACAAACATACAAACATACGAACCTTCTCATTTATAATAGTACTATAGCGACTCATCCTCGCTTCCCTAGGGTTCGCACTAGTTGCCTATAAACAAATCTATCCCACCAATATTTGAGGTTGAAAACATGGATTTTGAATTTTGAAAAAATATTGATGAGAAATGAGCAAGTAACTTACAACTATTATAATTTATAGTTCGCCAAGAGGCGTATGAATCTATAGGTCTATAGTTTTTTATTCAGATTTTTGATGGGAATCTAATATATATATAATATATATAATATTATATACTTATATTTCAAATGCTTTAAATAAAAAATAAAGTCTGGAGAGATAATATAAATATAGCATAAGAATATAAATCTGTAAGAAACCCCGAAACGATAATTTTATTTAAAACTAGCATACGTTTTCAACTACGTACGTTTTCTATCGATAAAAATAGTTATAGCGAGTGTACGATAAAGATGCAGACATACGATTTTCTCGCTGGAACCCTAATTTTTTCCGAAATATATAATGTAACCCTTTTTTTTTTATCGTTGGGAAATGCATTTACGCACGACGTGTGGGACTCACCGGCGTAATACAGCCAGTACTACCCACTAAAACCCAACAAAACCTTCCCCCGTCTTAATGGGGCGTCGCAGGATCGCTTACGCATTCAACTACGACGCCCCGACGGCAGGTCTGCCGAAGCAGACCACCACAACCATGGGGTTGCTCCAAGGTCCACTCTGCTATCAGAGAAGTACCCGGAGCAACCCGCATGGTACACCGCCCCCCGAAGAGGGCTACCTCTCACCGCCCACCGAAGTGGGCAACCTCCCTGTGCGTTTCTTAGCTTTGTGCCCAGTTGGATTGCCGGGCACTACTGAGCCCCCCCACCACGACAAGGTGAACGCACGTTGGGGGGGATATAATGTAACCCTACAAAATCATTTATCTTTCACAGTAAATCCCATTATAAATGGTTAAGCCATCCCAAAAATTACCTCACACTAAAACAAAGTCAGACAGACAGACAAGAATTTTAAAAAGCTGTTTACGTACCGATAGGTACCTATCATATAAAAAATTCTATGTTTTTATGAAAGCAGCTATTTTGAAATCACGTACAGATATTTTATTTGTATTTATATGTATAGATATTACTATTTGCGTAAATCTAATAAAGTACTATAAAAAATTTGTCTACCTGTATTTAAAAAAAAAAAAAATTAAATTAGTCCGTCTGTGTGATATGATTTTTCACACCCTAAAAGGAAAAGGTATCGACCAACTTTCATTATAATATTATAAATGATTCATTCGTGGCATTTGAGGTTTAACTGTACCGAGATCTGATCTGCATGGCAGGTGTACACTACCTTTTTTACGTATACGTGTATAAAAATAAAATCTTTTAATTATCAATATTAAATATTTTAATAATGCTAGTATATTAAATAGTAATATTATATATAGTAATAAATAGTATACGTCTGTATTATCTATACAGTATACTAATATATGTATGAAGCTGAAAGTATGTTTGTTTGAAAGCACTGATCTCCAGATCTAGGTACTACTGGTCCGATTTTTAAATTGTTTTTGCGGTTTACAGCCTTTATTAAGGAAGTTTATATGCTATCTTACGTCACATTATGACCTATGAGAGCGAAGTATTTTACAAATTAAACGGATGAGTAAACGCTAGTAATAACATATTTTTAACTGTTTAATTAATTAAAATTTAATACGTGGTAATTGCTGGTACTTAAATAATAAGTATTTTTTTTACATTAATGTGTAAGGATAATATTTTTTTTAGATTGACGCGAATATTTGACATTTTAAATAAAACTATCTTTTCGGATTTTTTCGCAGATTTATTTGGATTTTTGGTTCCCGACGTTTCGAATGCTTTACAGCAATCATGGTCACGGAACAGACTAAGGTTTTAGGTGTTTCAAAGGCGTTATATACTTGTTATAGGCAGTGCCTAAGCACAATTTTCAATATTTGTATTCAGCCCTTTTTGACGTCCCACTACTGAGAACTGGCCTCCCTTTAGTACGAGGGGAATCAGTCCATACTCCACCACGCTGGCCAAGTGCGGGTTGGTGGATTTCACATGTCTTTTGAAACTTCTTAGGTTCTCTCAGGTATGTAGGTTTCCTCACGATGTTTTTCTTCACCGTTAAGACAAGTGGTAATCATGTTGGAAATGATTTGCACATGAAAATATCAGAGGTGTGAGACCCGGGATTTGAATTTGCTTCACTCGGTTTCCCAAGCGAGCGTGTTACCACTAGGTTACCACTGCCTTTTTCAATATTTGTTGATTTTAATTCTAAACATTCTAAAAATTTTAATATGTATTATAAAAGTTAGTTCTAAGAAAGTATAGAAAAGAAATACATCGTAATAAATTTAAGCATTCAAAATGTTTATGACCTCTGTCTCAAATACACTGTGTTATGATGAACGCAGCATATTTTTTTAAGTGACATAAATTTCATACCTATTTAACTCAATACAAATCTAAAGGCTTTAAGTTTGCGGTTTCAAGAATCTACGCATATATTATAAATAATACTACTTTTTGCTGCGACTCCGCTCGCGTGCTAAGCGAGTTGGTGTTGTTGAATCATCATACAACCCATGTCATAGCTAAAATTTCATCGAAATCTGTTCAGCGGCTTTAACGTGAAAATGTACAAAACAGACAGTTATATACATTAATATTTATAATATTAATATGGAAGTATGTATGTATGTAGTAAAAGATACTTAAGAGAAAACCAACATCAAGTTTCAAAACTTATATATTTACTAGCATTGCTATAGCTTCGCACACGTTCAGATAACTAAAAACCAAATTCTTAGGTTTTACATATTAGTACACATTGCAGTTTTTGTATTTTTTCTCTTATTCTCTATTTAATGTACAGATTTGGTTCAGTTAGAATTTTATTATATGTATAGATTTTTCTTCCCTGTTTCGAATGCTTTACGGTAAACATGGTCACCAAAAATTAAAATAAATCTGTTTTATTTAGCTTTAATTGTATAATAAATACTTTAACATCACTACAGTCTACATACTTAGTATAACACAAAGTCTGTCTGTCCCTATGTATGCTTAGATCTTTAAAACTACGGAACGGATTTTGATGTGGTTTTTTGAATAGATCGAGTGATTCAAGAGGAAAGTTTATATGTATAATACATGTATATTATAGTACAGAAAAGCCAAGAAATTCAAATATTTGTATTTCATACTAACCGTTAAAACGTACCCAGGGACGACCCCGAGCGAAGCGAGGGTAGGTCGCTAGTGTTTGTTATAATATATTAATTACCATGTTCCGGTTGCTATTTTATTATTATGGCGGACGTCAGTTCGAATCCCGTGTTAGTTAAGTATTTGATTATTATTGGACTTAGTTCAATAATATAGACATGTATCTATACATAGCACAAGACAAAGTCACTCCCGCTGTTTGTACGCTTAGCTCTTGTAAACTACGCAACGGATTTTAATGCAGTTTTCAGCAATAGATAGAGTGATTTAAGAGGAAGGTTTATATTATGTATAATACATGCATATTATATGGATAGTAACCGTTAAAACATACTTATGGACGAAACCGAGTGAAGCGAGGGTGAATCGCTAATGTAATATATAATAAAGATGTATTTCGTTCTTGACAGTCATTCCCATATTTTTTGTAAGACTGACCCGGAAATCGAACCCATCCCGTCTCACTTTTCGACTTTTAGTTGTACTTTCTAAAAGACTGGACTATCATCAAATTATACTTATGTATTTTAAATCATTATTTATGTAAATTCATTTATATTTTCAGTTTTAATTTAAAAATCTCGCCCTGTATTTTTAAACTCATATTCAAAATATTTACAAATATGTTATGACAAATTGTAATTTTATGATTTTTCACTCGATATTTCCTTTAAAACTTACAAAATCTGATGCAACTGCGTAGTACAATAAATAAGCATCACTCGCATTCACGTATGTCTGTAATTGTAGGGTCAGCAAAAAAAAAAGAAATAAAAAAATAACATATGCAGACGAATTTTCATCCCCTTAAGTGATGATTTCCGGGATAAAAAGTATCCCATATCCTTCCCAGGGTCTCAAACTATCTTCTTACTAAATTTCATCT